CTACTCCGATTCGGACTACGCTGGCTGCATTGACACTCGAAAATCCACATCGGGTTATGTGTTCATGTTGGCTGGTGGAGCTATCTCTTGGAGAAGTGTAAAGCAGTCTATCATTGCTACTTCCAGTATGGAGGCTGAGTTTGTTTCATGTTTTGAGGCTAGCTCGCATGGTGTATGGTTGAAGAGTTTCATATCCGAGCTTAGAGTCGTTGACTCTATTTCTAGACCGATCGAGTTGTGACAACTCTGCTACGGTGTTTATGGCTAAAAGTAATAAGAGTGAGAGTCGAAGTAAACACACCGATATCAAGTATTTAACCTTAAGATAACGTGTCAAGGAAAATAAAGTGGTCATTGAATACGTTAGTACAAAGTTGATGCTTGCTGATCCCTTGACTAAAGGCATGCCACTAAAGAATTTGAGAGATCACATAGCAAGTATGGCACTTGATTTTACAATGTAGTTTATTTGCGCAGATTGTTATTTGCAACTCTTATGCAGTTTGATGTTTTCTCGCATTATTGTGCACATATTTGATTATTATTGAGAAAAATCGCTTAAGTTTAACCCGGAATAAATATAAGATTTATTCATTAAGTTGTGAATTTAGTTTGAGATGCTTGACATATCGTGATACATGGAAGGTAACATTCGTTTATAGAAGACCTACCGCCATGATTCATATGTAAGGTTTCTCGTTATGTTGTGATGGTTTGAGTGGGCCAAGTGGGAGAATGTTAGTTTAATTAATTAATTAATCATATTTAAATTTTGATTATTTTTGAATTATCTTATATAATTAAACTAACCTTAAATTGTGGCCCAATTTTCTCCCATTAAGTCCATCACATTCAAAATATACGTGAGAAGTGGCAGAAAAATCGTGATGGACGGACGGTTTTTCTTTTTAATTATAAATACTCTCACATACGGGTTACTAAACCTACTATCAGAAAATTAGAATACACCATCGTTGTTTGAGAGCGCCAGGGCTTGGCAACGTCATCCTAGGGTTGCGGCAATATCTTCCCAGGGTTCCAAAGTTTGACAACATCTTCCTAGGGGTTCCAGGGTTTGGCAGCACCATCTTCCCGCGGTTCCAACCTACCGTCTGCTTGAAAAAGAATATCTCATGAACATATTTAAATTTTAGCAATGACTGGAGGTTTGTTAATTATCATATTCGCTTCTGCTAATATTTGATTTAAAAATTATTTTCTTACAATGTCATGATAAAGTTTTGTTCTCTCCTTATACAACTTAGCATTCCTATATGTAAGGTAATTGAACTCGGTTAGGTCCAATAAACGAGCGGTGCGCTTCTTCTGGGCTGGGAGTAGATGAAATTTCAAATACTTAATAGCCCAATAAGTGATGTTCATGTTCCAATGGTGGACATCCCAATAAGTTCTTGAAGACTATTTTGTATGCCCAGAGAGCATCATCTAGCTTCTCATTCCAATTCTTGCAACTTTTGTTAACTGTGGTATGGAGGATGTGTTTGATCTTTCTGTTTGAAACCTCCACTTAACTACTCGCTTGAGGATAAAAAGAAGTAGTCAGATGCTAGCGAACACCATACTCCTCGAGACAGGCCTGCAATGTCTTATTCATGAAATTGATGCCTTCATCAGTGACTAAAATTTTGGGGACTCCAAACCTTGGGAATAATGCGTCCTTCAGAAAAAGGATGACTAAGCGAGCATTATTGGTGGGGAGCACGATCATTTCCACCCATTTGCTCATGTAATCCACAACAACTAAGATATAAACTTTTCTAAAGAAATTCAAAAATAGTCCCATGAACTCTATTCCCAAAACATCAAAGATGACAACTATTAAAACTCTTTTATGAGGAATCTCATCTCTTCTTGAGATAGAATATAATCTCTGACATTTGTTGCAAGCTTTCGAAAAGACTTTAGTACCTTTATGTATGATAGACCAAAAGAATCTAGATTGCAATACTTTACTTGTTTTTCTTTGCCTTGCGAAATAGTCTTCTACACGGGAACCATGACACTCATCCAGGAGGGCGGAATCTCCGCTTCAGCAATGCACCGCCGTATAATTCCATCCGCTGATATATTGAACAAATATGACTCATCCAAAAAATAATCCTTACCAAACTTAGTAGATGTTTTTTTTTTCCCCTCTAAATGCTGTGGGTGAGGAATTGTTCAGTAGTTATAAAGTTAGCAAAGTCAGCGAACCATGATTGTTTTGCCTGCACAAAAAAATAATAATAATAAAATAAAAAAAATTCTCTTCACGAAAAGATTAATTTATACTTGTAGTGGTGTCCTTCGACTTATGCAATCTACTCAAATGGCCTGCCATATAATTTTCCTTTCTTTTTCTATCCTTAATCTTTGTGTCAAACTCCAAAAGTAGCAACAATAATTCGCTCTAAAACACTTGTGTAAGCATTTTTTTACAAAGAGAAATCATAGTCTATTCATAGAGAAATCAAGGCGGTGGTTGAGTAGTTGAAAGTTGAAACATCAATTGAAGAGCAATTAAGATGCTACTGGATATCAGTTGAAATTGTTAGGTAGTTAGGAAGTTGAGCGGTTAAGTTGTTGAAGTCTGTTTGAACTCCCATAACTCCCAACTCACTCGCTTCACTGCTTCTGGTAAGTGTGGGTATAGATCTTTGTCCTTGCTTCAGTAGAAGGAGGGCATCACATTGCTGAAGAAGAGGTGACCTTTATTGCGCATAGGAAATTAATGGTTATACTGTTGAAAGACATCTACTTCACTTGCGCTAATAGCTTTTACTTCAAAGTCTTATTGTAGCGGTGGAAATTTATTGACCTCTGGAGATGTTTTTTTTTCCCCTCTAAATGTTGTGGGTGAGGAATTGTTTAGTAGTTATAAAGTTAGCAAAGTCAGCGAACCATGATTGTTTTGCCTGCACAAAAAAATAATAATAATAAAATAAAAAAAATTCTCTTCACGAAAAGATTAATTTATACTTGTAGTGGTGTCCTTCGACTTATGCAATCTACTCAAATGGCCTGCCATATAATTTTCCTTTCTTTTTCTATCCTTAATCTTTGTGTCAAACTCCAGAAGTAGCAACAATAATTCGCTCTAAAACACTTGTGGAAGCATTTTTTTACAAAGAGAAATCATAGTCTATTCATAGAGAAATCAAGGCGGTGGTTGAGTAGTTGAAAGTTGAAACATCAATTGAAGAGCAATTAAGATGCTACTGGATATCAGTTGAAATTGTTAGGTAGTTAGGAAGTTGAGCGGTTAAGTTGTTGAAGTCTGTTTGAACTCCCATAACTCCCAACTCACTCGCTTCACTGCTTCTGGTAAGTGTGGGTATAGATCTTTGTCCTTGCTTCAGTAGAAGGAGGGCATCACATTGCTGAAGAAGAGGTGACCTTTATTGCGCATAGGAAATTAATGGTTATACTGTTGAAAGACATCTACTTCACTTGCGCTAATAGCTTTTACTTCAAAGTCTTATTGTAGCGGTGGAAATTTATTGACCTCTGGAGTTCGGCTTGAGCGGGATTCTCATCGATTAACATAGATTGTGTCTGCCTTGGTCACTTCGCTTAGGATGATCAATTTGAGCCTGAATTTCGTCTAAGCGAGACCAAAATGTTAGTAAACCTTAACTAAGAACTTTTAGATCATCTTAAGTGAAAAAGTCAATAAAGTATGTCATAGTTTAAATATTGTGATTATTTTCAAATAAAAATCTAAGTAATACATAGATTTTATAAGTAAAAAATATGCTTAACTTTGGAATTATCAGTGATTATAAGTGAAAGTGAATATGTATTGTGAAATGATGATGGGACAATTTACTTATATATTAGGGAAAAAATGATGGTTGTATGAATAGAAATGATGATGACTTGCTTAGTGATATAATTTTGCGTAAGTGATAGTGAGAGAGGGATTAAATGAATATGATGGTTATATGGCAGAGAAGTAATAATGATTTGGAAATGACCTGAATGTAGGTTTTAACGAATATTTATGCATATAAGGATGAGATTTGAAAAGAAACGAATATAATCACATTAATTATTTTATGTTGGATTTAGGTTTGCTGGTACTTGACTTTAGAGCAAAACGGATTCTCAGATTCATAACTCTGATATTCTCGAAGAAACAAATATAATCACATTTTAGCCGTCCGTCTTGATCTTCACTTTTAGAGTTTATATTTCTCTTCATGTTTGCTAAGTTCGCAAGGACTTTTCGGGAGGAAAAAACATAATTTAGGGGAAGAATCTATGCCATTGTGAGTGTGAGTAGAATTGTATCACCGTATGAATATTGTTCGAAGACATTAGACCTTCGTTTTGATCATTGAAGGCTTCACTCGACAGTAGAAATTCTGTGATGTTTCCTAATAGGTTGTCCAATAGAAGACTTCGTTAGGCAGTTTTAGCTAAAATTTGGGTTTGGGGTCAAGTTTTATGTTTTGTATGGTTTTTGTATGCAAATTTCAATCTTGTTTTCTTATATATGGTGCCGACCTACTAATAATAGTAACTAATATTAGTAAAATGTTATACACATATGCAACACGTAGCTACTTGTAGTAATACACACATTGAATTCGTAGACATTCTGTAGGCTGAGATATGGATATTTTTTATTGGACATGAATATCTATATATATGTGTAACTGGAACACACGAAAATTACACAACTATCATTTTCAAAGCCTACCACTTTCATTCTTCTTTGTCTGCTCATTTAATGCTTTGATTATTATAATACATACATACATTAGCAATCAAACATAAATATATTTAACACTTACCTATATCCTTATACATCATATTATATTTTTTATATAACACGTTATCAGCACGAAGGGTCTTGCCTATTTATTTTTGTAAGTTTTATTTTTATACTATCTATATTATCTATTTTCTAAACTATGGAAAATCTTGCAAAATTTTCTTTTAAACCTCTGTCTTTCACTGGCAATAATTTTCTGACTTGGTCCCTGAATGTAGAAATGCATCTGGTTTCTATTGGCCTTGTTCATACAATTGCCAATGAAAATACGGCTACAAGCCAAGATCAAGCTAAGGCTATTATTTTCATTCGTCACCATCTGGACATTCCTTTACAGTCCGAATATTTGACGGTGAAAGATCCATTTGATTTGTGGAATGAATTGAGAGAGAGATTTGGGCACTTGAAATATATCACTCTCCCCAAAGCCCGACATGATTGGCTTAATCTATGGTTGCAGGATTTTAAAACTGTTACAGAGTACAACTCTGCTATCCATCAGATTACATCTCAGTTAAAACTCTGCGGAGAAAATGTTACTGAGAATGATAAATTGGAAAAGACTCTCTCTACCTTCCATGTTTCTAATGTTGTGCTGCAACAGCAGTATTGTGAGAAAAATTTTCAAAAGTACTCACAGCTCATTGCATATATTTTATTGGCTGAGCAAAATAATGAGTTACTGTTGAAAAATCATCAATCTCAGTCCACTGGTTCCAGTCCGTTCTTTGAAACGAACATGACATTTTCTAAACGAGGCCGTGGACGTGGTAGAGGCCGTGGACGTGGTCGAGGTCGTGAGAGTCAATGCAGTCGATATACCCCTTACAATCACCCTGATTTTGACATTAACAGGAAGCAGAGTAAACCCCAATATGGGGATATAGCCGAAAAGGCTAAACTGGAGAAGAGGCAAATCGGCATTTGTAATCGGTGTGGCATTGAAGGCTATTGGGTCAATACTTACAGAACAACCAAACACCTAGCCGATCTTTATCAAGCCTCACTGCAGAAAAAGGGGAAGAAGATCGAAACTAATCACGTTGATAATGATGATGACCCCGATGATGATCTTTTGGATTACGACACAACGCATCTTGATATAGCGGATTTTGTCGTAGATCTAGCAAATCCCCAGTGACAGACATACTTTGTCATTTTAAATTATGCAATTTCATATTTTGTAATATTTAAATTATCACATATTACCTTTTTGTAATGCATTTTGTAATACTTATATTTGCCTTATTGATACTGTGTTTATTTATATTTGAAGGTTAAATAGATGCTAATCAAAATGATGCAAATATGTGTTTCATTGACAGTGCAACGACACATACCATATTGAAACACGAAAAATATTTTTTCCATTTGAAAAGGGAAAGAATGAATGTCAATACAATAAGTGGCAGTGCAAATTGAAGGCTTTGGAGAAGCCATTATATTTCTCCCCGCGGGGACGAAAATTGTAATACAGTATGCACTTTTGGCCACTAAAGCTCGAAGAAATTTACTGAGCTTTCATGACATTTGGAAAAATGGTTATCCCATTGAAACTATGAGTGATACCGATGGTGAATTTTTATTGATCACCAATATCATTGATAAAAGGAAATGCATCATTGAGATATTACCCTCACTCTCTACTGGCTTATATTATGCCAGATTAGGTGTTGTTGAAACACACCTCACTGTAGATCAAAAGACTACCGTTTTTCAAGTATGGCATGATCGCCTTGAGCATCCTGGTAGTATAATGATGAGGCGAATAATTGAGAATTCACATGGCCATTTATTAAAAGGTCAAAAAATGTTAAACTCAAATGAGTTAACCTGTGTTGCCTGCACTCAGGAAAAATTGATAACCAGGCCATTGCCAGTTAAAGTAGGTATTGAATCGCCTACATTTTTGGAAAGAATACACGGGGATATATGTGGACCAATAGACCCACCGTTTGGGCCATTTAAATATTTTATAGTGCTTATTGACGTATTTACCAAATAGTCACATGTTTGTTTATTATCTACTCGCAATATAGCATTTGCGAGATTGCTTGCCCAAATTATTAAATTACCTGCATAATTTCTCGATAATCCAATTAAGACTATATGTCTGGATAATGTTGGTGAATATACATCAAATGTATTTGATGATTATTGCATGTCGATTGGAATTAATGTAGAGCACCTAGTTGCTCATGTTCATACACAAAATGGTCTGGCAGAATCACTTATTAAAAGATTGCAACTGATTTCTAGACCATTACTTATGAGGTCTATGTTACCCATTTCAGCTTGGGGACATGCAATCTTACATGCAGGAACACTTATAAGAATGAGGCCGACAAGCTATCATAGCTACTCCCCGATGCAGTTAGTATTTGGTCACGAACCAAATATATCTCATCTACGTATTTTTGGGTGTGCTGTTTATGTTCCTATTCCACCCCCTAAAAGTACAAAAATTGGACCTTAACATAGATTGAGAATTTATGTCGCATATGAATCGCCGTCTATTATAAAATATCTTGAATCTATGACGGGTGATTTATTCACTGCAAGATTTTCAGATTGTCATTTTGACGAATCATATTTTCCGACATTAGGGGGAGACAAAAATAAACCGAAAAGGGATATTAATTGGAAAATCCCATTGAATTTTTGTGATCATCGTACAAAGCAGTGTGAACTAGAAGTTCAACGCATTATACATTTGCAAAATATTGCAAATCAGTTACCGGATGCATTCAATGACTCAAGCAAAGTCACTCGATCATATATCCAAGCTGCTAATGCTCCGACTAAAATAATTGTCCCTGGTGAACAAATTGCAAGTGCTAATGAATCAGCGACACGCTTAAAACGTGGTAGACCACTCGGTTCCAAAGACAGACATCCTCGAAAGAAAAAAGGAATGAATTATGATAATCATGAAAATTTCAGGAATGACATTGATAAACCTCAATCTAATGAGGAAGTCAACCTTGAAATAATTGCTCCAGAAGAGCACGATCTTGAAGAACATGATGAGATCATTGAAAACTCAATCAACTATGTTACTTCAAGAAAATGTTGGAACCGTAAAGAGGCAATCATTGACAATGCCTTCGCATACAATTTGACACTTGATATAATGAAAGAAAATGAGGATCCGGAGCCAAATCGGTTCATGAATATTGGAAAAAGAATGACTGGCCAAAATAGGAAAATGCAATTCAATCAGAGCTTGACTCATTAAACAAAAGGGAGATCTTCGGACCAATTGTTCAAACACCAGATGATATAAAATCAGTTGGATAAAAATGGGTGTTTGTACGAAAAATAAATGAACATAATGAATTTGTGAGATATAAAGCCAGTATTGTGGCTCAGGGATTCTCACAGAGACTTGGAGTAGATTTTGATTAAACATACTCTCCGGTTGTTGATGGAATAACATTTAGATACCTTGTGAGCCTAGCAGTGCGAGAAAAGCTCGATATGCATCTTTTAGTAGTTACTGCATATTTTTATGGCTTCTTGGATACTGATATTTATATGAAAGTTCATGATGGATTCAATATGCCTGAAGCATACAAATTAAACCTAAATGAATCATATTCCATCAAATTGAAAAAGTCATTGTATGGACTTAAACAATCAGGACGAATGTGGTATAACCGTCTTAGTAACTGTTTAATAAAAAAGGTTATACTAATGATCCAATATGCTCATGCGTCTTTATAAAGAAAAATGGATCAAATTTTGTCATTATTGCAATATATGTTGACGATCTCAATTTAATAGGAACTTCTAAAGAGATCCAAATTACAATTGAATATTTAAAGAAAAAATTTGAGATCAAAGATTTTGGAAAGACAAAATATTGTCTGGAATTACAAGTGGATCATGTTAACAACGAAATATTTATCCATCAATCCACATATACCCAAAAGGTATTAAAACAATTTTATATGGTTAAATTTCACTCCCTGAGTACACCAATGGTGGTCAGATCCCTTAATTCCAGTAAAGATCCATTTAGGTCAAGAGAAGAAAATGAAGAAACACTTGGCCCCGAGGTACCATATCTCAGTACTATTGGCGCATTAATGTACCTTGCAAATTGTAATAGGCCAGATATATTTTTTTCAGTAAATCTACTGGCCAGGTTTAGCGCACCCCCCACAAAAGCGCCATTGGAATGGTATCAAACACATTTTTCGTTATCTTCAGGGGACTCATGACCTCGGTCTATTCTATTCAAGTGAAATTAATGTGCAACAAATTCTTTTTCACTCACGATTTTTAGAAAAGTGGTGAAATTAATGTGCAACAAATTCGATTGTCTGAAAATTTTGCAGATTTATTTACGAAAGCACTACCGACTGCAACATTTAACGAACTGGTGCAATGAATTGGAATGCGTCGGATGAAAGACATCAAATAAAGTCCAAAACAGGGGGAGAACATTAATAGAAGAATGATGTACTTTTTTTCCTTCATTATAATTTTTTTCCCACATGATTTTTTCATAATAAGGTTTTAACGAGACACATTCTTTTTATAAAAATATTCAAAGGGAAGTGTTATACACATATGCGACATGTAGCTACTTGTAGTAATACACATATTGAATTCATAGACATTGTGTTGGCTGAAATGTAGATATTTTCTATTGGACATGAATATCTATATATATATAATTAGAACACAAGAAAATTACACGACTATCATATTCAAAGCTTATCACTTTCATTCTTCTTTGGGTGCTCATTTAATGCTTTGATTATTATAATACGAATGTATATATACATACATACGCAATAAAACATATATATATTTAACACTTATATACTGATACATCATATTATATTTATTATATTACATAAAACAATTTTATGGGAGACTAATGGATTAAATAATTATAGAATAAGAACAATAATAAGGTTTGTTTATTTTTTCTCATTTGTTTTTGTTTTATCTTACGAATGAACCTATTAAAGATACACAAAATTAGAAAATTTTCACTCTAATTGATTTTACATCAACTCCCAAAACTAATTACTCATTTTTAGTAATTTTAATAAATAACGTGTAAATTCCAAAGAAGCATCTGAATATCGCGTGACGTGCACGTGACCTCTCCACCGCTGCCTCGAAGCAAAAGGAAAAAAAAGAAAAGGAAAAAACCGAAAAACACAGCGGCAGGAAAAGCCGAGAGAGAGAGAGCAATCGTCAAACCCTATCTTCTCCTCCCCAAATCCCAAAATCAGTTTTGCTCTATATTAAGCGCATCATTTCATAAAATTCGACGCTGTTTTCGAGCCGTACGCTCATGGTTCCTCCAATTTTAGCTGTTATTGATGATTCCTGGTTCTAGAATCAAGTTCCCCTGACTCATCGGATAAGCTTCTCTGAAGCGTTTATGGAGGATTCTGCAGCGGCATCTTTGGTTGCGGCGGAAGATGGCCCAGAGTCGTGGGAGGTAGCTGATGTGGAAGCTAGCGTGCGCCGCCTCTTACTGTCGTCCAAGAAGGATTCAGATGTTAGCTTCTTGGATGAGACAACCAAGGGTTCCGGCTCCTGTTGCGGTTCGGAGTTGGATTTGAAATCGGGTTTGGGTTCGGGTACGGGGGATGATGTGATTAGCAGCGTTGATCAATTCTTACGCGAAGCTATACAGAATCCTCGCGAGCGCCTCTCTGGTAAGCTTTTTCAGTAAGCAGTTTTTGGCTTTCTGGAAATTGCTTCTTGTATTCGGTCATTTATTTTCTCCACTTCTCTACTGCCTAGAAGAAAATTGGAGATTGCTCGTACATTTAAATATGTTAATTTGGTATTTGTTTGCCCCTATGTGTGTTTTACCCTTTTTATTTTTATTATTTATTTATTTATTTTCTATTCTTTTTGGATAGTATTTAAAATTTCTGGCAATTGTTATCAGAAGTCCTTTTTCCTCATTGAACGATGTCTAGATAGTTATTTGTTCATTAACCACTGAATTGAGTGGTTTAATCTTTCGCTGTCAGCGAGTGCAAAGGTTTCTGAAATTTATAATCGCAATTGCTGAACCATCTAGATAGTTAAAGTATATGGCATATTTGTGAGATTAAATGTGAAAGTGAAACTGTTGAATTTGAGTCAATATATTATATATTTACTGTAAAATAGAATTTATTAACTTGTATTGTAATGTGGGGATTCAAATGTTTCTGGCGGTGTGCATTTGTGTTTAGTCATTATTTTTTGTACTAGGAAATCTACAATGAAATATTATCCCAAAAATGTAATTTTGACAAAAACTTGTGTGAAAAAAACCATTACATCCAAACTTATTGTTTATTCAAATGTTACATTACAAAAATCAAATTCAAAACAACAAGAAACCATCAGAAACACCAGTACCCACCCTCAGTGTCTTTTTTTTTTTTTTTTTTAAATATATATATTCTATTGAGACCTGTTACAGTCTCCATGCAAAAACACAATCTTTGCACCATGGTGCACCATGCACCATTACTGGTGCCATTTACCTACTTCAGTTTACTTAGTGACAGTACTTTCAAAGCCCAAAGGTTTACAATGTAGTAACCTTTTTCGCTGATCAATGGTTGAGCATCAATTATACAAGCTGTTGCTTATGATTTTGTTGTTTAAGTGATTATGGGAGAACATTTTTCTATTTTTAAGTGAAAAATGATATCATCACATGTTAATTTGGATGTTTATATCGGATCTTATGTTGGAACAATGAAGTACATAAGGCCGTCTCTCTTCCGTCTTCTAATTCTCACGCATCTTTTTGTAATCAACTTTCAGAAATTTATATTTTCCTCAAATATGTCTTAGATTCAATATCCATATTATGATGTATTCAGATTCATAACCGAGACACCAATTGTCTACAGTAAACGTAATTCTGCAGTTCACATGTGGAAATTAAGTCTGCTGTACGGTGTGGGTAGATCCTTTATTGCAAGCACTTGGGATTTTCGATAATCTTTGTTTAAGCATTTTTGTATGTAATATTATTAATAATATTTGAATTATGTGAAATTTAATGTTGATCTACTGCACACCATCGAGTCTAATTCCTGATTTGCGCATGCGAGAAATAATTGTTTCACAATTCCATTTAATAATAATAAAAACAACCATTAAAAGGAATATAAAAAATAGAATAAATCCTATATTAGCAGTGACATGATCTGTGACAAGGCTTTGCATGTTGAGAATGTGAAAGGTGTGTGGCTGTGGTGAATGGTGATTGGGTGGTGCGTCAGGGACAAAAGATCGAGATGAGCCTCCAAGAGGCAAGTGTGCAAGCGAAGTCAGGAGATTATGACTTGGACTCTGTATTCTGTTTACAGCTAAGGGTTTTGTTTTGGCCAGTTAATCAAAGTAACTGTCCCTTTTTATAAAGGGAATCTACTATTAAGTACTCTAAAAAAGTAAATTATACAAATTATACTACTGCCTCCGTCCCGATGCAAGGTTGTCATTTGGTTTTTGCGTTATTGTACTTACCATTAAGGGTGTGTTTGTTTGGGGGTTTGGATTTTGAGTTGAGATTTGAATAGTAAAAATTTTGAATTTGAATAGTTGTATGATGTGATATAAATAGGTGTTGATGTGATATTTTGAATGTAAAATTGATTTTTAGTATAATATAAAAAATAAAAAATAGGTGTTTTGATTTGATTTTTTTGGGGGAAAAATTTTGGATGAATAGTAGGATTTTATCAAAATCCTACAAACGAACACACCCTAAATATATCCTTATAGTTGAATAATTTACTCAACAGATGTCATTGTATTTGTATTATAAAAGACTAATAAACATACTTTTGTTTTTTTCTCTTGATTCGCACTACGTATTGATATAATAATTAGTATTCAAATATCAACATTGCAAAAAGCTAACGACAATCTTCTTGGGAGGGAGTATATGTAAATTTCTTCCTTGATATAAAATTTTATCTAAAACTAGACTGGTTAGAAACTTACAGGAATAAATTTTAAGATAATTATCCATTGATTGCAATTCTATCTCTTTAATCCCCAAAATTCTGCATTACCAGGTCTCTTCTTGTAAATAAAAGTAAAGGGCTGAGCTCTCAGGGTATTTTGGGGCCTTTGAAGACTTCCTTTTATTTATTTACATGGTTCAAACATTCCTTTTTTTTTTTTTTTGTTTAACATTCTTTTCTTTGAAAACCAACAGTTTTATTTGGTGGTTTTTAACTTCTATCATGCTTTTCTAGAAGAAACACTAGGTCGAGCTTACTTGTAAGTTGGGGTGTTTTGGGTTGTTTTGGATTTGAATTTTGTAGAGTGAAACTAATGTTTGGATTTGATATAATATATAGATTTTAGGTTTTGAAAATAATGTTTTGAGAATGCAGAAAAAAAATTCTCCCTCCGTCCACAAAATATGTGCTCATTTGAGTTGGACCTGGGTCTTAATGAATATAGGATTATAGTGGTTGATTGTGACATAAGTAGGGTATTTGGGGAAATATATGAGCGAATTAATGAGTTGAGAGAAAATTTTGAAAGAATTTTGGATAAGTTGAGTGTGTAAATGGATGTGATAGATAATATATTTGTAAGTAACTGTAATGTTGAAGGGCATAAATTAAGGGGTGTAATAATATTTTGTTATAAATGTAAAGTGTATTTTTTGTAAACAAACAAAAAAAAAGGAAAACAAGCATATATTTTGTGGATGGAGGGAGTAACATTTTACTGTAGATTATATAGTATGAAAAGTGATGAAAACATAGGTGAACAAAGATTACATTAGATGTTATATTTGAATGCAGTGATGTGACTTTGTATTGATGATTCTTAATTCATGTTTTCATGTTTTTTGCACTTCATCCTGAAGAAAATGGCTTTGTGTCTATTTAGTTTTGCGAATGGAGCAGGAAGTGGAGAGGTTCATCCACGATCCTACTCGGGAGCAGATGGAGTTCCAACAGTTGCCCACTTCATATTTGCGATTGGCTGCACATCGTGTGGCACAGCATTACTCGCTGCAATCTATGGTTTTGTTGGACAATAACTTGCCTGATGGGTCTGGCTCCCGGATCATTGTTCGGAAGACTTCTAATATACAGCTTCCTTTGATTCGACTTGCTGACATTCCTGTAAATTTGCCTACAGAAGAGAGTGGTGCGGTTAAGGTTGCAATTAAGCAGAGACCACAAAAAGGTTCACTTGTTAGTAATAAGAACAATAATTTAAGTGCGCATTCTGCAAAATCAAATAGTTCTAAGAGTGTGGAGGAAAGGAAGGAGGAGTACAATAAGGCTCGAGCACGCATATTCAATGCCAACAATTCTAGTGGGAGTTCCAGTGTCAAACCTGTGAACAGTCCAAGGAATCAGGATAGTCACCAGCACGGTTCGTCTCAAACAACTAAGATCGAAGATGGAATATCTGCAGGTGGTGGATCTGAAGCAACCATAGGAATAAGTTTCTCCGACTCTTCTACATCTAGTAGTAGATTACCTAAGAATCGGATGGAAAATGAGCCAATTGGTAGGCCAAAACCGAACAATAGAGTGGCTATCTTTCGAGATCGTGAAGTTGATTGTAAAGATCCTGACTATGACAGGAGCTATGACAGGCAAAGTTTATTTTCTTCACTTCAGTTTCTATGGTCCTCTTCTTTTTATTATGAATGAGATTCTTCATTTATGTTGAAAGCTATAAAAAATGGAGTCTAAAGCAGTTATGTGGCCATTTTACATTTTTACCTCATTTAATATTCAATCTCAGCTTTTGTTTTATCTCATACACCTTTTTGCTTCAATACTTGAATCACTTTTCTTAGAATACTTCTAATATTTCATTTCATCTTCTATTATGTTGGTAATATTTTGATAATTTCCTCAGATACATGCAACGGTTTGACCCTGGCTTTGGGTTTATTGGAGGTCAGTACGCCATTCAGCCTATGTACGTACCTGCAGTAAACTATAACACTGAATTTCCACAGCTTGGATCAAGCCACAGACCCCCAATTTCTTCTGAGCCTCAACCTCATTTGCTTCACCAACACTTTCCTGGGCCGTGGATGTCTCCATCCAGTCCTGCTGGTATTAGTTATGGTCCTGCAGATGTCATGTTGTCTCCATTTACTTCAAGTCACGTCAATGCCTGCTCCAATGGTGGTCTCTACTTGCACTCTGCTCCTTACCCCTGCCAAAGATCTGGACTGCCATATATGCATCCTCTTGAACAGATTCACCAACCTTTTTCTCAGGTATGGAATTTTATTAGTCAATTGCATCGAATTAATGTGATTTTGTTTTCATATATTATAATATGGACATCGAAAATCAGTAAGACTTATTTAAGTTTATTACTATATAATCTTTAGTTATTCTTGCATCAGTTTCTGTTGTTAATTTCGAAAAATGCTCGTGGCTACCAAACATTTACATCTTCCTGCCAATTTTGTTTGCTTATCTAATAAGTAACAGTAATGAGCAAAATTGATATTGATATTTATTACTTGTCACCATGTAGGTTTTTGTGAATTATCTGTAGCCCAACTTTAGTGTTGATGCAGTAAAATCCCTGGAGTCCTTGTAGCATTAAACCCCATTGCAAGTTATAGTTTGCACTTTGCACTCTATCACCATTTGTGTTCTGAGTCCTTTCCTCGTTATTTCCAGAGCTACCAACTAGATAGGAATGCCTGCTATTTTATTTCGTTTATTTTTTGGTCATTTCTATAACTTCTTGATAGGTTAACAATATATGTGCATATATAATATAAAAATCAAGTTCCAATGTCTATGGCATACAAATTGTTCTATGCCCTTGTTCAGATTCACTGTCTCTGCTCTTCTCTCTTCCTTTTGCTTTGAAGCTCTTAAATTTCATAAGACTTCTCAAGTTGTTATGGCTGTATACTGAATCTTGGCGAGAATTACCTTAAGCAACTTGATAGTGCCTAGCCATGGCCAATCTCCTGAGTACTTTTAAAAGGGACTCCTATTAAGTAATACAGCAGAGTTATATTTGCTGCTTCTGCATTTCCGCCAACTACTGCGTTTTTAGACCCCTTGTTTTGTGCATTGGATTGTTGTCCTTGTCCCCCACCATTACCATTATGATCTAAACTTATCTCTCACTCGTTTTCTTTTCAGTCTCATCAGCAGCAGCCTGATATGGGTTTCGGACTAGCCCGGCCCCGATGAGGGGGCATGGGCCATGCCTGCACCCTAGTCTGATATAATCGGGCTTGGTTCAACGAAGACTGCTAGGGCTGGATATATGCCCGGTGACTAGGGTGCAGGCATGAGAATCTGGGATGTTCTGGATGGCAGCGCACACTCTTACATGCAATCCGCTCTTCCAGAGTCTCAGATTGTAGCTCTGTGTTGCTTCGCAGAGCTTGTTCACATTTGGCAGTGCATAGATTGATTGATGGAGCTCCCTAGAGCTCTGCATTGCAATTCTCATGACAACGGCGATCCAAATATTATGTATCGGTCATGTTCTGTTGTTAGGCCCTTGATGTCTGCTGTCCCTCGTTTATGTGGTTTTCATTCTGTTATTTTTAGCGCAGTTCGGTTCACCTGTGTATTTGTTGGCAGCAGCAGCAGCCGGGTACGAAAAATATGACTGGCGACTGAACAAGGATGGAAGGATGTTGGTGCTTTTGGTGGCTAAATGCGACGATATTTTGGAGCTCTGGTAACAATTTGTGGTTGTCATTTTGTTGCTGCATTGATAACAATGGACATACCAAAAAATTGGGGGTTTTTATTCGAAGAAATTTCACTTGATTAAATACCAGTTAGTTACATATATTCATACATGTTCTCTTTATGGATGGCATGGCATGTTGAAGATCTGCCGTGTTAGTTAGACATGAAGAATATCATGATTACAACACAATATCATCAATAGTATAAATGTAGGGCTCCTATTGCACATGTGCTATGCTATACTTACCTTCATTTAAATTTACAATATTTGTTTTTTAGGTTTTGTCATGAAATTTTTTTTTTTTTAATAGAACATTATGTTGTTTTTTTAGGTTTATAAAAAGTTAAAAGTACCAGCTACTATTATTTATTATTATTGAAGTTTGTGTTGGAATGTTAAGCGTCAGGGGTCGTTAACGTACATATTTTGATTATATATATATATATATATATATATAATTATTTATCAAAACTTCTTTACCGGTTGTTAGAATTAGGCTACTTAACTATGATATTGTTTGGAATTTGTTTAGGGTGTTAAATTTAAAAAATTAGCACTGTGTCAAATCAGTACCCGTAATGTATTCAAACAGCACATAGTTGTATTATACACATCACATGTGTATAATAAAGACCGGTGCTGTTGGTTTATAATTATAAGTGTGTTATATAACAATATCTGTTAGTTCATTTGTTGTATTTGTATTATATGAATGCACACGGTGTACTACCTATAATAATAACACCGTGATGCCTACAGTAACACTGTGCGTTGTCTGACAGGATACTACGATATAATGTTAGCACTTTGGTTTTCCAATGTAGGATTTAGTCACGTGATCTTCCTTTAAATAATATTCTAATGTTAGGAAATAAGATACGACCGTATATTCTCAATCACATCGTATATTTCTAATCATGACTGGCTTCGGACAATCAATTGTCCAGTTCTCTCATTTTAGTTTCGGACTGCTTGGGCGCACTGAGCAGCGCAACCTGATTCTACTTGACTAAGCCTGTACTTTTCTCATTTAAATTTCGGATTGTTCGGGCATCACCTCTTATGGTTTTCAAAACTTATGAAATTTTATACTATATTTTAATTATTCAATAAATCAATTTTATAAAAAATATATATCAAATACTAATTGTATTTACGTATGCGCTTTTGGTTGTGTTTGTTTGAAAGATTTTGTAATTTTTTTTGTATTATTTTTTCTTTTTTCTAAAATATTAATTAATATTTTTTTTTTATGTTATATTAAAATTTTATTTTATATTAAAAAATATTGTATCTAATATTTATTTATATTACATTATATAACTATTCGAAAATTCAAAATTTTTATTATTCTAAACTGAAATATAAAATTCAAATTCTAAAAAGACCACACTTCGGAGTTTTTAAAAATTTTGGAAATAATAAAAATATTGTCCTAATTTCAAATCTATTATCCAACATGCAAAAAAGTTAAAAATAAAAAATAAGAATTGAAGTTTCAAATACTTATCTTCTTTACCAATACGGCATAAGAAAATCAAGGCTCAATCACATAAGTAATAGTATAAAATTCCACAATGTATTGGATTTGATTTACTCCATTTATATAACGGTACAATATATTAATTTACGTATGGTTCTGAATAAATTTTAATCTTCGAATCAAAATCTTAATCAACATATGATATTGCGGTTAAGGTAGATATTTAATTTACTTTTAATAATTAATAAGTCAATGTTTTGTTTTAGCATAAATTAAGGGAACATATATACATATCGATGCAGGTCGTATTCATAATTTTAGTCGGTTCACATAAAAAAAAAAACTACATCTTCTTTCACCGATATCTATCCAAGAAAATAAATTGTGAAGAAGTTGGAGTGTAGAACAAGATGAAGCAAAATTATGTGCATTTCGGACCGTTCCAGTGTGTTGTGGACGAAGATGACGTTTTAAAAAATACAGAATGGGGAAAGTAACATATTGCTGAATTTTTATTACATCATATACCTATCTTCTCAACATCATATTTTAAATATATATGCATCGTAATTGTATTAGTCATTCAACGTATCAATAGTTGCACACAAGAATTATTTAATCAATGGCTGAAATAATAGAAGACTTGCATTCAATTATATACATTAAATTTATCATAATTTTCGAATCCAATTTTTGTGCGAATGATATGTAGCCTGAAATTAAAAAAAAAAAATTGTTTACATTATTTTCTTGAGACATTTTAAAGCTTATTATATTTTTGTAGAATTTATGTAAATACTAACTTAAAAGTTTTAATTTTCTAATATAATTTATTCGATTGCTCTATGAAATTATATTTGAAACCAATAAGATAAAGAATATACTTTATCTAAATTTAAAAGTGTTGAATTAAACTAATTTTCCCTTAAATTTAGGATCAACCTCCTACTTGAAACAGTTTTCAAATTAAATCATATATATTATTTTTGTCATTATTTAAATGCCTAAAAAATATATAAAATATTTATACAGTCATATACTACGTAAAAAAGGAAAGCAAGTAATTTAGTTAGATTCGCACAGGAATGATATCATAATACTAAATTTCGTAAACAACATTACTTTAAAATAAACAGCATATTGTTGAAACGTGACTTGGATTTAAAGGTCTACACGACCCGAAACCAAAGCGAAATGGTTGTTTCAATTGGCAGGGTTCCTTTTGGGCTTATCCTAATTAATAACAAATAGGCTTAGGGTTTAGGGTATTTTTGGGTGCTTATAAATAGATAGCTATGGTTCCTAGTCGTATGATATGATTGTAACTCTCTGAATCAGTATAATAAAATCTCTCCGGTTCCTGCTCGTGGACGTAGGTTGACACACCGTCACTTAACCACGTAAAATCTCTGTGTTCTTTATTTGCTTTCTTTTTCGTTTTCACATAACAAGTAGTATCAGAGTCATATCTGATTGATTGAAGATGTCCTCGTATAAGTTTGATCTGGAGAAGTTTAATGGATCGAATGACGTCACGCTCTGAAAAGGTCAAGATGAGGGCACTTATGGTTCAACAAGGATGTGCGGCTGCGTTAGAGGGAGAAGACAAGTTTCATAAAGACACGAAGGAGGAGACAAATAATGAGATTTTGGCAATGGCTCATTCCGTGATCTTGTTGTCAGTTACTGATGAGGTGTTACGGGAGGTTGTAGATTAGACGATGGCTTTTAGGCTATGGAATAAACTGTGTGAGAAGTACCAAAAAAACTCTCTCACGAACAGAAGCAACATCTTTACACCCTCCGGATGTCCGAAAGTACTAAGGTAAATGATCATCTTGATACCTTTAACCGTATTATTCTTGATCTTCAAGGGGTTGAGGTTAAAATAGATGAAGAAGATTAAGCCCTAATTTTATTGTGTTCACTACCTGGTTCATATGAGAATTTTGTAGATACTATGTTATATGGTAGAACTACAATTTCTGTTAATGATGCGAAAGATGCCCTTAAGTCCAAAAAATTGAAAAGAAGGTTTCTTTGGAAAAGGGTTCTAGTTCAGGTCTGTTTGCAGGCAGAGGAAGACCACATGAGGAGGTAACGGGAATGGGAGGTCGCGTTCAAAATCAAAATCCTCTAGCAAAGTTAAGTGTTATCTTTGCAAGGAGAAGGGGCACGTTAAAAGGAATTGTCCACAAATACAAAAGTTGATTCTAGTAACAGTGGCAGCAGTGCTGCTGTGGTACAAGATAGTTCTGATGATGGGGACTTTGGTGAAGTTCTGACAGCGTGTAGTACTAGTACTGCTGATTCGTGGATTATGGATACCGGTCCTTCTAGAACAGTGAAGTTAGGTGATGATGGGGTTCTAGCCATAAATGGGAGCGGGATAGTGCAGATAAAATTGCATGACGGTATTGTCAGAAAATTTAACTGTTGGTATGTTCCTGAACTCATAAAGAATTTGATTTCTCTTGGCACCTTAGCCAAGAATGGTTTAAAATATTATGGTGAAGGTGAGTGGGTGAAAGTCCTGAAAGGTGCTCTGGTGATGATGAAGGGTAAACTGCATAATAGAAGTTAGTTTCTACAGGGCAGTTCAGTGATAGGAACGGCGGCGGTATCCCAATCCTTGGATAAATACGATGACAGGACAAATTTGTGACACCTTCGATTAGGTCACATGAGTGAGCAAGGGTTGTCTGTGTTGAGCAAACAAGGTTTATTTGGTGGGGATGTGATAGGTAAAATTTAATTCTGTGAAGCTTGTGTAAAAGGGAAGCAACACAGGGTGAGGTTTAGTACCAGTCATCACACTTCAAAAGAAATTTTAGAGTATGTTCATTCAGATTTATGGGGTCCCTCTCCGGTAAAATCGCAGGGCGGTTGTTCTTACTTTGTCACTTTTATAGATGATTATTCGAGAAAAGTCTGGTTGTACTTTCTGAAGACTAAAGATGAGGTGTTTGGAAAGTTCAAGGAGTGGAAGGCCATGGTTGAAAAACGGACGGGTAACCAGGTCAAGACTCTAAGAACTGATAATGGGTTGGAGTTCTGCAACGCTCCATTTGATGATTTCTTCAAGAAAGAAGGTATAGTGAGGCACCGCACTGTATGACACACACCACAACAAAATGGAGTTGCAGAGCGAGTGAACCAAACCCTCATGGCGCGTGCTAGATGTATGCGCATATTTGCTGGCTTATCTAAGCAATTATGGGCTGAAGCAGTTAACAAGGCTAACTATCTGGTTAATAGATCTCTATTTACTGCAATTGACTTAAAGACTTCTCAAGAGGTATGGTCTGCTAAATCCTCTGATTACTCTAATCTAAGAATATTTGGATGCCCTGCATACGTTAATGTAAATGATGGTAAGCTGGAGCAGATGGTAGTAAAATGCATATTTCTAGGGTATGTAACATGAGTCAAAAGTTTGTGAAAGTATTGCAGGTACAAAAGATTGTGGTGCTGACCAGATGGTGGAGTTTGAGACTCCTGACAGAGTTGTGTTAGAGGAAGAGCAGCATGATAATACTATTGATCAATCCGATCAACCAGATCAGTAATAACCTCAAGGGAAACTGGTTGAGGAGGAAGCTGATGACGCGGGTATTGCATGATATTCAGAAACCAGTTAGGTTTGCAAGATGTGTCAATACATGTGACATGAATTCTGTGGCTTACACTTTGGCGGTTGGTGATGATCTTGGCTCTGATAAGTCAAAGACATATAAAGAAGTT